GCAATTAGAAATGATGAAAAGATAAGTGTAAAATTACCCTTTTATTCAGTAATATTTTCTTAAAAATAAAGCCTGTATGATTATACAGCTCCCCATTTCTATCAAACTTCAATAGAGTGATAATTCATAAAGGCCTTCCTGTTTACCATTCGTAACATTGAGCCCAGTTGTCGTCCGGGTCCAACCTCAATAGTTCGAGGAAAAGAAGCATCTAGAGGTCTTGAATATAATGAGTGCAAAATTTGTTCCCAACGAACAGCAGTAGTAATCTATATAAGCGAACGAGTAACGTTTACCCAATATTCAAGAGAGAAGTTTAAATTTTAGCAAGTGAATGGTTACCTGCTTTGAGAGATTGACTTTTATCTTTGATACACTTGTATATGGCAACGCGTCAACGTTCGAGAGAACTGGAATGCTTGGCATTTTGATGCCAGGCACTCGATCAAGTGCACGGGTGAAAACCAATCTGGCCGGAGCCATTAGTGGAGTATGAAATGCTCCACTTACGGGAAGATGTTTCATACGAACGAGTCTAAACTGCTCTAGATGAGCCTCAATAAAATCAAGTGCCTTAAAAAACGAAAATCAAATAGAGAACAACAATATAGATAAGGTTATATACGAATGAATATAAGTTTCGACAAAGAAATGCATTCAACATATAAACCACCTCAATATGCCCAGCTATGACTTTGCAGTCCGCATATAGGTAGCAAGCGGTTTGACAAACGCATTGAGGCTCAAAGGAATCTGTGCCAAAATCATCCAAGTCGCCATATCTACTGGAAGATTCGACACTCTGATTAGTTTGTTTTCTTGATAGACTCAAATAATGAGATTTAGCGGCCGTAATAGCAGACGAAAGTTGCGAAGAATGACTTAAAAATATAGAAGCCATTCCGCCAGATACTCGAGTGCTAGCGGATTGCATGGCCTGACTTCGAGTCTGGATTAGAGACAGGCCTTGTGAGATTTAAAGTTTAAGATGACAGTTAGCCATTTTCAATAAAGCAAAAAGGTCATGTTAACCTTAGGTAATACATATAGCTTCTCAAATATTTATATCTACCTTCTTCAAAGGTAAGAGAGCCGGCAAATACAAGGGCTGCTATTTCACCAGAACTGAAGCCAGCAACAGCAACGCAATTCTCGACAAGCTACGTACAATGCCTTTCCAAACAAATTCATACTTTTGGATCCTCGGTCCGCAGTTTAAAAGCGGCAGCAAGGGATGTTATGTATATTGCTGGCTGACAATGAACGGTCTTCGTCAATTCCTCAAGAGGACCTTCTGTGCATTTTTTCATCAGATTTGTTCTCAGGATTGAGCCAGCATATTCGAACATCTCTTTAACTTTTGGCAAATATAAGAGCTTTTTTGCCATCCCCACAAACTGAGAGCCCTGGCCAGGGAAAAGAAGAATTGAGGTTGATGGTATACTAATCATCGTAGGTCTATTGTAAATAACTAATTGAGCATATACCTATACTCATATTGAGTCCATAGAATATTTGATTTTGTAGGGATTTCTTTATCCGTCATAGAAGAAAAGTTACGTAGCCGTGAAATATTCATTAAAAAAAATAAATCAGAACGAAGAAATAAGCCGGGAGAGAAGAAAGATAACGAGCGCATGTCGCGGAATGATTGAGAGCGTACAAAATAGCTTCAGAAAACAACGAATAGACACTATAATTTATTTCTAAAAATAAGCTTAAATTAATTTTTATCATATTATTTATTATTTATTGCTTATATTTACTGTAGCTTTAGTGTCTTATTAATTTGTAAGCTAATAAGTAATAATACCAATAATACTTAACTACGACGAGAAACTGGGTCTCGATAAATCTTCTGAGATAACATTGTTATCAAGGTAGCTGGGTCCAATGGTCAAAAGTGGCTAAACACATGGTAGAAACTGGACATGAAATATAATGCTGATTATGTTATGTTTGTGGTTAAAAATAGAGAGGCTATTGAAATTAATAGCCTAGAAATTACGTTAACTGTGAGGACCGGTGGTAGAAAGTTAAGTAGTGACTACTAATGCTTGATTGATATATTGAAGGAAAGAGATGGTATTGAGCCGCCGTCAAAGGGAAGGCGACGTAATTTTTCTGCTCGGTGATTGTTATAACTTCACTCACGTCGAACATGTTAAGGTAAGCTCATCAACCAAACCAGACAAAGCAGATGGTGCAGCCCA